TAGAGTTCGGTATACAATTCTGTACGCTTTTTTACTACGTTTTACAGCAGGCACGTTGATTCGTTCCTATGTAATAGATTTGGCACTTATAAAAGTTGGCAAAGAAAATTACAAATCCGACCGTTTTTCATGACATTTGTATAATGTGGTTACGGAATAGTACCGAGATTGTGCGCCATTTAACTTTTCAACATAATATATGTCGTTGACGGCTCAGTTCGCTAGGATTTTTCTCCCTGAGCTCGCTGCCTTTTTAAATGAGTGGTAGCTTGTTGCTTGGTCTCCCCCCCCCCGCGCGCGCAAACGAGTGCTGGGTGCCCTGTTCTAGTATCGCGGACATTTGTGGGTGGAGTTCGGAGAGGAGGCAGGCTGCAGTGGCGGTTTGAGTAAGGAGGTGCCGAGTTGTTGTTCAATTCGATTTACGACACGAATTCACGTTTACGGCATTCCTGCTTAGGCTTTTATCGGGTCATCACTATTAATTTATTTGTCTTTACGTTGGTCGATCCCGTTTTTCTTATGCTTATGCTCTGCATAATTTGTATTCTTTGGATTTGTGGTGTATCAGTGGTATTCGCCTGTCAGTGTGAGACTATATTCAGCTGTGATTTTAGGTTTTCCTGAGTCAGAGATCTCGCCAATATCGTTTTTTAATTTCAGGAGTCTATGGCAATGAGTGTCATCTATCATAGACGTATTCGTCCTTTTCATTAGACGTTATCTTGTCTAATCGATAGGACGTATTGCGTCTATCAATGAGTATCGTCTATCTAATAAGAGTTCTATCAAATTGAGGTACTCCAGTTTATTGATAGGTACGAGTCGTTGTTTCATATTAGTATATATAGTTATATGTTACGGGATACAGCCGCACAACCTGCGGAGGGTCGCCAAGACGAGGACTGCTCCGATCGCCATTCAAATTTCAGATAGTTCGTGTCTCCAGTGGGACCCCCGGGGTCTCTTTATCGCATCCTGCTCTCTTGTCTCTGGGTCTGGCGTCTCCGGCTCTGGCACGGTCATTCTGCTACTCTCTCTTCATCCTGTGGTCGTGCTGCTCTCGTCCCTCTCTCTCCCTCATCATCCCCTTCCTTCTCTCTCTCTCCATCCTCGTGATTCTGTCTCTCGTCTCGCCCTCCTCATCCTCCAGGCGTTCGCCTCCGCCCTCCTTTCCCTCGCTCCCTCCCTCCTCCCTGCCCTCCTCGCCTCCTACCCCTATCTCTGCTCTCCTCTCCCCTCTCTCTCTGCTCTCTCTCTCTCTCTCTCTCTCTTCTCTCGTCTCTCTCTCGCGTCTCTCTCTTCTCTCCCCCCCGTCTCTCTGGTCCTCTCGTCTGCGCGTCTGGAATTGCTCTTTCTCCGTCTGGACGCGATACGTAGGGTAGTAATTATTATTGAGGAGGTGATGAGTAGTATAGCGTATTAGTTATTCACTCGGGTGGTTTGATAATTTCGGAGTTAATAGACACTTTAGTCTTATACTCCTTGATATTATGTTTGTTATGTGTGGTTTCGCAGCACTACAGTTATTAAGCAATACCTACAATACCGAGGGTGCCACATTGGGTTTAAGGTTGAGAGTGAGATGCGGAGAGACGAGGCGCACGAGGTGGGGCGGGAAGGATATATATGGTAGATTTTTTTTGTGTTGTCGTGAGTATTCGCGTTTGTATCGATTGAAGGAGTATTCTGCGTGAGGTATCTCAGCATTTTTTTTGCTCAGTGCGTGAGAATTGCTAAGATCGCGTTGATTGAGCGTGAGATTTTGCTGCAAATTGGCGTGAGTCTCCCGGTCATGCTGTGAGAGTTGCGCAGCCTGCATCAGTTACGGACCTTGTGGGTGCGATAGGTCAGGATGCGCCCCTGGTAAACCGCGACTTATATGGGAGCCCAAACATGCTCCCGCTTTCGGTTTTCTCGGGAATGCTTTCTACTCGGCTGTCAATAACTTCTTGCTGTCTGGTCCTCATTTGGCAGCCTATCTGCCCCTTCGCCATTGTGATGACATCATTTGATGTCAAAATTCCTTATGTCGTATAGCGTGATATGAATAGGAGGAGATGCTACTCAAGGAATTCTGTCGATTTTATGAGATTGGGGTCTGACGTGTGTTGGGATGGATAGGGCGAGTTCTGCGAGACACCTGTTGATTGCCACGAGTGTGTACGGAGGTTATTGATGTTGCTGGCGCGCGTTATTATTGTACGGGGTCTACGGTAAGTGCTGGGTATCTTTACCTAGGTCCGATGAACTTTCCAAAAAGTGTCTAACATCCGCCGCTCTCGCCCTTCCTGACTGACCTTGACGCTTGGTGTTTTTTTTTATGATGATCGAAACTCGATTTGTAATGAATCATGAACATGATCTGTACATGAAGGGGGTGGGTGAAGTAGGTATGTGCGTTGCGCAGTGCGTGCGTATGTTCGGTACGGTGCGTGGATGTGAGTTGTTGTCTGGCCTATTCAAGTGTAATTTTGCATTTCAAAGCGGTCGGCACTCTCTCTATTGGGTGTGTGCACGATGTGAGTCGAGGTCAGCACGGCGTTTATTGCATCCTTCACATGAAATTGCCGGCTTTCTATTACTGGAATTTCAGCGGGACAGGTTCTGCACAATGATGCGCAATTTGATGGGGTCGGTGCACTCGCATACAGTCAGCTAAATGCATGAGCAGGGAGAACGCGCGCGGACACGTCGACTCAGTGTTAGTGTAATTACCAATTACTCTTTACCCTGTTGCGAGTTGGCGAGCTTGCTTGCGTCTGTGCCGGTGGTGTTACGTTGCGTGTGGTGCGTGCACTTGCAGCGTGCGTGGTGCGTGCCGTGCGCGCTGTTTGGAGCGCGAGCGTGCGCGCGTGTGCGACGTATGGGTGATTGTGTGGTTGTGATGCTTATGTGCTTTTGGAGCGTGCAAGTGAAAATTGTATAGCCCTCGCTTCCCCCCCCGCGGCCACAACAGACACCACAGCCTCGTGCTTTCGCGGGGATTTCGTGAAGGTGTGGTAACTGGTAAGTACGCCGCTAATCACAACACACCCAGAGGAGTAGCCGCAAGCGGAGGTCTGAGTATTTGAGAAGTGCGGGCGCCGGGTGGCTGGGGATTATATGTTCTTGAGGTCCGAGCCTCGCAACGACCGCTGGCCATGGTCTCGCGCCGGACCTCGCCGGTACGTCTGACTTGACTTAATGTAGACCTTGCCGCACAGGGCTCGGCAACTCCTCCCCGGGACGCGGCGCGCGCCCCCCCCCCCCCCGGGCAAACGCCCCCTCGCCCCAACCCCCCGGCTTCAATAATGTGCATTCTGTTGCTGTGATTAAGCATCGGTGCACTGATAATAGGCAGTCAGGCGACTCCAATAGCCCAGCCCAGCCTTCTACTTTGCCCCGTTAAACAGTACATAGAAAATATTACTGTTAATTTTATCATTGTTTGATTTTCAATACTATCACATACTATCAATGATCAATACTATCACATTGATGCGGCATTTACGGTGTGTGTATGTGTAGTATGTGTGTGTGCGTGAGCCGTTGCGTGCGTGCGTGCGTGCGTGCGTGTGTGTGGCAGTGTGTATGTGGAACTATAAACTTGGTAAGATTTTTAAGGGTCAGCGGGGGTCGTGGCCATTTAAAGATTTTTTATGCGTGGCCTGCGGCATTGCGACTCTTGCTGTGTATAGCGTAGTCGTGCATAGGGGGGATTAGTCAGTTTCCGCCTAGCTGGACTGTTATTGCGTATGTCCTTCCTACCACCTGCCGCGGTGAATGTTGCCTTTCTCTTAGGAGGCGTTCTTCCTCCGTCGTTCAGTCTCCGCAGGGGTGGCGGGGAGCAGTGTGCGGTGCGTGCGTGCGTTGAGGCGTGGGCGGTGGTGGGCGGGCGGCGCGTGCGTGGTGGGGCGGGGTGTGATGATGTGTGTGCGGGTGTGCTGTTGTGGCGTCATGTGCTCGTTGTGTGTCGGGGGCCACACTGCCTGGGCGGCTGTGCTGCGTGTTGTGTGTGTGTCGCCGTGTGAGCGGTGCGTGCGTGGCCCGGTGCGGCGGCGGTGGCTGGTGTGTGCGGAGATGCGTGCGCCGTATGTGCGCGTGAGGGTCTGCCGCGCGCATGTGCGTGCGTGCGCTGTGCGTTGCGTTGCAGAAGGTGTCGTGGTGCCTGTGCTCCCGCGCGGTGTCGGGGCGCAGCGCAGCCAGCCTCTATCTCAGATGCTGCTTGCGTTGCTGCGTCCTGTCATTTGTTTTTGCTTCTTCGTGCGGGGCGATCGCGCAGTAGCGGCAACAGCGCCGCGTTTACCTCGCGTCAGTGTGGGAAAGCCATCCACTGTAGGAAATCCACGGAGCGCCGGCCGCCAGTGCCTAATTTGGGCAGGTTTAAGCCTTTTGTGAGGTCTGCGTGGAGACAGCAGCAACGGGCGAGGGCCGGGGTGGATGCCGGGTGTGGTGGTGCTTCGCGTTGCCATAGGAGGGAGGTGCTCTTGTTTGTTTCCGCAGATCAGAGTAGGAGAACCATAGAGCGTGAGAGAGAGAGCGAGAGGGAGAGGGAGGGGAGGACGATAGAGGATCCAAGGGAGATGAGGGGCATGAGAGCAGAGAGGAGAGGCGAGCGACGGTAGGAAGAGGGGGTGTTAGGAGATAGGAGAGGGGGGGGGGCCGTGGGAAGTGAGAGGTGCGGGTGAGGGATACGCCTGCGAGAAGAGGAGGAGGAGAGAGGAGCGACGAAGAGCGAGGAGAGACAGAGACAGAGACAGAGCTCATTGGGAGAGAGAGGACGACAGAGGCAGACTGCAGCAGGCAGAGGCAGAGCAGGAGCGGAGACAGAGACACAGAGAGAGAGTCAGAGTAGAATCTACTAGTAGAGTAGTAGCTTCTCTCGCCCACATTAATTACCTTTCGCAACCTATATAGCGGAGAAGTGCTGTAATCTTAATTTAATTGTTTATTCTATGGATTCTCGCCGAGGGGAAGGGCATTCCTGCCATGACAAGTTTATGACATCATGGCGGATGCTGTAACAAAACGTTGCGTTCTTAACCGATGACTACCGGTCTATTATTATGCTATAACTCATCATGTCATGCCGGTCAAACTAGTGTGAGGTTCGGTGGCGCACGCACCTGTTGGTAGGAAATATTATGTACACGCGATTCTGTAAAGGAAGATGAGGGTTTTATAAATAACATGTTGGTAGCGTTACAATGTATGTGGTTGGCGGAAAATATGGTGTGTGTTTGTAAACCGACATATGGTTGGACTAAATTGACAAACCGTATATGGAAAGCATTTTGTACCAAAAACCCACACCATGTGGGCCTAAAATACACTACAGGTGCCATAAAAGATCGTTGACGTTATTTATTTTATTTTATTTGATTAATTACGTTTATGGCGGTCGTGGTCGGTCCTCCCCGTTGTGCTTGCGTAATCCTATTTCCCGTAATTGCGTTTGATGCAGTAAAGCTGGTCGAGTGTGGAGCGCTCGTTAAAACCGTGGTCGAAACCCAATCTGTGATTAATATTTTGTGCCCTAGTAGAAAATCTCATTGCGGCTTACTTGGCGGGTGGGGGGGGGCTGTGCAGGAGGATTTATCCCAGCTTTTATGCTGTAGACAGAGACATTCTGTGACTGTGTGCTGACAACAATATGCTGGCTGGAGTACAGTAACCATGCTGACAGTGATATATGCTAACTGGCTGGTGGATGTGGAAAGCGTTGTTGCGGCTGACTATACACAACAAGCGTAACAACAACGAGTGTTTGCTAGAGACGATGAGTGCAGTGACATTCTGCGACATTCTGAGTCATGGCTGGGCATACATGTGGGGTTGAAATGGCGGCTGAAATGCCACCTTTGCGCTAGGCTTACTCACTGTAGGAAATCCGTTTCACACTGACACCCAATTCCGGCAAGTGCTTTGCGAGATAGGCTTTGCACGCACATCCAACTAGCCCTAGAGGAAATGAACCTTTTATGTTTTCGGCGATCAACGCGGCCGTGCGGTAGCGCCACGCGCCATGTTGTTAAACGCTGCCTCTTGTTTCAGGCCGACCGTGGAGCAGACGGATGACCTGGAGGCGAGCGCATCGATGGCGCCCCCTACAGAGTCGGCGACGTCGGGCATGTGGAGAGGCAGCCAACAGCGGTCGCTATCCCAAGAGTCAACATCGGAAGGTAGATTAAATTCCACGCTCTAAACTCCGTGATATATATATATGTGTTTAGCAGAAGGGAAGATAGCCAAAGAAAATAGCAGTAGCAGGAAGTGGAGAAACGGGAGCAGTGGCTGGCAGCAAAGGAGAAGTAGCAGCAATGCGGGACAGCAGTGGGGAAGGGAGGGGAAGCAGCAGTGGTGGGAGGTAGGGGCAGCACAGGAGGAGATGCAGCATTAACTGGTAAGAGAGCATCATTAGAGGGGGAGGGGCGGGCAGAAAGCAGTGGGGAGATTGAGCAGCAGTACTTAACAGGAGAGGGAGGCCCATGGGGGAAGAAAGAAACAACGAGTGGTTTTAAATATCTCCCTCATAACACTTGATAATTGCCTTGTTATTGGTATTATCCAAAAATTTTAATCCAAAACGGTTTTTATCCAAAATGATTTTCAGTGTATTATCATAAACTGCAATAAAACAGTGCTGTATGAGAGAACTTAATCAACGTTATATAATGTCATGGAAAATAAATCGTTAATAGGCAAGAAAATGCTGGTTCACCGCCGTGTCTACGAATGGCAGGTTGAGGCAGCGAATGAGAATATTAAGCATGAATATTAAGCACAGCAAAACACAGCAACGAATATTCAGCACAGAATGGAGCGAATATTCAGCGAGGCAGCAAATAAGAATATTAAGCACGAATAATAAGCACAGAATGCAGCGAATATTCTGCATCCAGTTTGGTCGATTCGTTATCGAATTATCTATTTATTGCTCGAAATGCATTCCAGTTTCGCCCGACCATTCCCAGCAGGCGTGCCAAGCCGCCTCGACATTTCGTAATATACCTAATGAATGTAATATCTCATTAATAATCTGTATAATCGCTTCTGTAAGCGCGTGGTCACAGCTGCATGATTCATCAACGTTTCAGTGAAGTGAAACTTTCACTCGCCGCTGAGATGATAGCACGTCAAGGCTTATCTTAAGTCGTGGTGGATTAATGCAATACTAACGACTACAGTGCAAAAAAATGTACCAAAGTGGCTGTTTATATCGGTAGGGATGTTAAAATGCCACAACGTTTGTAACGTTCTAAACTCTGGTTTAAACTTTCTCCGATTACTCGGGCAGCCCAGAAGAATGGCAACTTGATGTTTTTAAAGCGTGCCAGGAATCGATATTCCTCAAGGTTATAATAAACGTTTGGCACTAAAAACAGTGGGCGATGTTTGTTTAAGTACTTTGGAGAGAGAGAGAGAGAGAGAGAGAGAGAGAGAGAGAGAGAGAGAGAGTGGAGTGGAGTGGATGGATGTGCGTGCGTGGCATGTTGAGCTAAGTTTTTGTTTG